TCTGTGGGTAGAGGCTCCTAGGCAACTCTTCTGTCAAAAATGTAGGCAGCCAATATTTGCAGACAATGTTTTTTTTTTTCTCCCCAGGGATATAACCACTGAAAAATTTCCAATACTTCTGGGAATAATGGCGCACACTGTGCCCAAGTGTTGGGAGGTGAGACTGCCTCATGGATCCTATATGATCTATAGAGTATATTCCAGGACTGGCAGATCTTCATAATGAGACCCCATCTCAACAAATGAACAACAACAAGAAGAAAACCCCCACCCAAACCCCACGATTGATACATGTTTCTAAGGAACCCCAAATAACTCATTGCTTCACCAGCTAGATTTGTGTGGAGTCTTATATTTCCTTCTGACACTGGTGTCTCATGGAGGTTATATAGGCATTCTTCTTGTAACCTTACATAAAGTTCACACAACATTCCAAAAGCATCTCTCAGGCAGGCTAAACCCTGCATGAAGTTCACAAACATTCCAAAAGTATCTCTCAGGCAGGCTAGGAAACTGGCCATTTTGGTTTCCTGAAGGAATCAAGGAGAACCAAGAAGAATCTCAGAGAGAAAAGACCAATCTTGAAGTCTTCAATCAGATGTAGAGGGTTACAGTCAAGATGTTCTGCAAGAAGAGATTACACTCAGACTTGGCTTTGCAATCCTAGCACACAGCAAGCTCAGGAAGAGGAGGAAGGAGTCTGATATATGCATGAAGTTTAAGAGGTTCTGTTTTAGAAACAAAAACAGAAATTAAGGAAGCACAGAGAGATAGAATCCATACATTAGGAACCCAACCCATCACAGCATAGGGAAGAAGAGTCAGGCGCCTGGTTAGAGCAGTTCCTCTTCCTCGGCAGCTGCTAATATGACATCGTCATGACAGGAAGCAGAAACAAGCCTACAGAAGACACACGTCTTGTGTCTGTGTGTTTGGAAAGAAGACCAACTATCTGAAAACTTGTGGCAACTGGAAGATGCCATGACCCCTTTTCTTGCATTCTTGCTGCATCTCGGTGAGATACCAAATTGGGATGAGGAATTCTTTTGTGAGAGGGAATTCACCTCTCAACCATGATTTTAGCCATTAGGATGTCTCGTCAGCTCCAGAAGTCACCAGGAAGTGGAGATTGTGCTCATGTATCAGTGTAAACACTCACAGGTAACTCTCTTGCAGGAATGAGTCTGAACATCAGGATCCCAGTGCTGGCAGGTGAGTGTTTACCCAGCTGCCCCAGATTGGGCATCCTTGATGGGGATCACAGGGAACTCATGAACAGAGCAGATGGAGAACAGCAGGTTTGTCCTGATGCTGGGGATGCCTGAATTTTCCTGGGTCTGAGAGCTTGTATCTGAGGGTGAACTCTGGGCAACAAACTGTCATTTCTTTCAGGGACCATTTCTAAACCTACACTCAGGGCAGTGCCAAGTAATGTGGTAGCCACTGGGAACCAGGTGGCATTCTTCTGTGGAGCACCCGTGGTAGCCAAGGAATATCGTCCCTATAAAGAAGGAAGTCAAGATTACCTGACACCAACAACCATTCTCAAAACTGAGAACAAGGCCATATTTTCTATCTCATCTTTTCAATGGTACAATTCAGGGCAATATTGGTGTGGATATACAAGCTCCCATGGCCCATCTGAACACAGTGACACCCTGGAGCTGGTGGTGACAGGTGAGAGAACCCGCCCCCAGCCCCGAATTGTCTTAAGGAAGGAGTATGTTCACCGACGGCTCCTTTCTCAAATATGAGAAGATGGGAACAATGACTATCCTTTAAGTTCACAGTAGAGGCTTTCTCTTCTCCCCTAGGACATTTCCTCTATTACCACAGCAACATCAGTTTGTCAGCCACGCCCAGCCCTGTGGTAACTTCAGGAGGGAATGTGACCCTTCAATGTGAGTCACAAGAGCAATATAATGTATCTGTTCTAATGAAGGATGGCAAGAAGCTCTCCAGTCAAGTTCCCTCACAG